CACAAAGGTCTCATTCCTGTTCTCACTGTCATTGGGAAGTTCCCAGTGGCCACCCAGTGCAGCGTGTGACAACTCTGAAGTGCCCAGGTGGCTGTGGATTTATTAGGGTATTATCCTACTAGTGCTGCAAATGGTGTCATCTGTCTTCTAAACTTTGCACTTTATTTCGGGGAGAGAATTTAGTATATCCAGGCAATATGCTGTAGTTTTAGCATATGATAAAGCCCTGCTGGGAAGTGTAGTTTTATTGATTTTGTTATTAAAGTGCCACTGGAATAAATTTGCTCATTTGAATGAAATGTCTTATTACCTGGCTCGTAACGGGCGCATGATGAAATCTCCGGAGGGGATGGAGCTGCTGGCTGCCTGGTGATGAGGAGCTGAGACAGAGCAGCTGACAGGGACCCACAGCTGCCACCCTGCTCACCCCAGGCTGGGGCCCACCGAGACCCCCAGGAAACGCTGCATGGAAACCTCAGCAGGGGAACACGCTGTGGTGGCAGGGGGCACTGTGTTTCAGTCATTGGTGATTCACATTGTTCCTCTAATCCTCTGCTCAAGTAAGTACATTGTTTTAAAGGGAATTGAGGAAAAATCTCTTTCACAGGGCAATATTTCTTTAGTACCTACCAGTAATGGGGCTGGATTGGGAAATGAACCGTTCCCCATTACACCGGGACCTAACTGCACAGCCCATGCTTTCCCGTTAAAATTTGATTGCCTTGAATCCTGAGGATTATGGAAAATAAGAAAAAGGCCTAGTAAAATTGATGGGTTTTAATCATAAACCGATAGAATCACAGTAAATCTATCATAAGCATGCAGATACAGGCCTGGAAAAAAAAAAAAGGAAAGCAGTAGGCCCACTACTTCCCTGGAGGAGCTGCATGTACCCATGGCAGGGCTGGAGAGCATGTGGGGAGCGAGGAAGGGGGAGGTGGAAAAAGGGGATGAGTGAGAAAGGAGAAAAGGAGGTGAAGCCCAAAGGTTTTTCTTTCTTTCTTCCTGTCTGTTCGCTGTGGAGGGAGCAGGATGGGACCCTGCAGGGGAGCGGGGAGGCAGAGATGCAAGGGAGAAAAGTGTGTGTGGAGAGGGGGAGCACAAACATGGTAGGGAGAGAAGAGCACTTGACAGAGAGAAATGGCAGGAGAGCAAGAGAGAAGCACAGAAAGCAGAAAGTATTTTTTTAAAAAAAGGCAAAAAAAAGGGGGAGAGTGAGTGATAAGAAAGAAAAAAAGGAGAGAGTAAAAAATTGTCTCTGAAGCACAGATAAGAGAGGGAGGGCAGTTAGTGAGAGAAGGAGTAAAATTAAGCGCGATAAGGCCTGATAGAAACAGGGACCGGCAGCAAGCCCAGGCGCTGCAGCTGGGTTCTGCAGGCAGGGAGCACAGGGAGGCACAGGACATAGGGATCCCCTCTCATCTGGTCACCCTCGCTCCTGTGTAGGCAAAGGCGTGGGTCTCAAACCTGGCTTTGGCCTCTAGCAACGTGGAGAGTGGAGCTGGGCGGGTGTGGGGATTGATGAGGAGAGTTGGGGAGGTGGTGGCTATAAACGTCTCTGTCGCGGGGTGCTCGTAACTCTGCTCCTGCCTCGGCAGCCAAGGAGAGAGCCAGGTACCTGCCTGTCACAGCCCATGAAATGGGGGAAACGTGGGGTTTGGTGGGGAGGGAAGTGCCTGTGGTGGGTGATGTTCCCAGGCTGGAAATGCTGAATATTTCCTGAATATTCACACTATGCCTGCCATGGGGATCCCCGTGGGCCTCCCGTCAGCCTTGGAAGTAGGGGAGGTGAGGCACCTCAGGGCAGCCTCCCTTCCTTGCCCTAAACACATGTCTCCCTGGGTTGTTTTTTTTTTGCTACCTCTCTTAAGCTATTTTATTAAGTGCTTTTTATTTATCCTTATTAAAAAAAAAATAGACGTGAGAAGTGCTGTCTGGTTCTGACACGTAGCCCATGGTTACCTGAAGACCAATGCTGGAACCCAGCCTGTGTTCTCTCACCCTTGATTAAACTGCAGAAAAAAAGAAGGCACTGTAAATTTCAGCAAAAGAGAGAAAAAGAGTTTATTCTTTGGGTTGTTTTGTTTTTTTTCCCCATCGTTACCAGCCATGAAAATTGCTCAGCTGAGATGCTGGCCACTCTGAGATGCTTTTCTTCTGCTCCATCCATCTGCTTTTAATCACGTAGCGACTGAAAAAAAAAATATCCAGTTCAGAAAGCATTGAAGATTAAAAAATCAGTGTGGATAATAACCTGTGTGCCAGGCAGGAGTGCCGCAGAGCATCGGGCAAACTCACTAATGAGGGACTCTGAGCCGCAGCTTCTCCTGACAGGGCTTCGAGAGGTGGAGGCGATGGGTCTGGGGGCACGTGTGGTTCTGGGTGGTGTGAGGCAGGACCTGGGCTGGCAAAAATCCTACAGTAACACAGCTCGAGATGTTACACACCAAAGAAATAATTTTCTTTTCCTTTTTTTGGCAGCTTCTTTTTAACAGTGGAAGACTTGATTCCTCCCTTTGATTGCTGGGTCGCTGTAGCGTGCTGCAAATACCTTGCTGGACTTGGTTATTAGTGTTTTTTTAATCTGTGTGTTGAATTAGCTCTTTTAATTACAGCATTAAAAAAGGATAACTTAAGTCAATTAAGAAGCTCTTCTGGATTGCCAGTGTTAATGGATGTCCAGGAACATGGAGACCCCCCCCTCTGCCATCTGTCAAACTGCTGATTGAGTTACTGTCAGTCTCAGCAACAAGGCTCACTCCAAGATACCTGTGCTGGGCTTGGCGTGTTCCTCTGGTGGGCTAAGGCTTCGGTGCATCCCTGCCTCTCCGGGTTCCCTGAAGCAGGCTCTGGGGTGCAGGTGGAGCAGAGCGCGCCTGCCTTCAGCTTGGGGCCTGGGTGTGTATGTTGCTGTTTGTGGTTTTGTATTTAGCTCGTTGAAAATGTTGATTAAACACCAACAGGAGGGGAAGCTCACAAGGACATGTTTTGCTTTGGCTCTTTTAAAAAGCAAAACAAAAGTAAAAAGCTTTTAAAAACTGTTTTGGTTTTAAAGAAATGATGGATAAGAGATGAGAAACTAACAAATCAAAGCTGCTGAAACCTGCTGTGGAGAAAGACACAGACTGTTTTGTTTGAAGATGAATAGAAAGCTGAAACCAGCAAAAACTGCCCCCCCCTCCCCATGAGCACAGATGTTTCAGGTTGGTTCTTCTAGCCTGGCACACTGCTGGAAGAAAAGCAAATCCAGCCTTTCCCATGTTGGCATTCCAGCTTCCTGTTGCTTATTTTTTTATCATCTTGTAGTGACTTTGATCCCTGAATATTCCTTAGGTGCTTCACAAACCAAGCATGCAAATCTCAGCTCATCTGCCTCAGAGATGTCGCAGAGACTGGGCAGACCAGTATAATGCTACTGGTTCTGGTGGCAGCCAGGAAAGATGGGCAGCACCTGCTGTTTCAATAACACTTACAAAAACCTTTATCCACATTGCCATCGTCTGCAGGGATGTTTTGTGCTTCCTTCAGGCTGTGCTCGGGTTCCCAGGCTCCTGTCCCAGCCTTGTTTCTCCCCTGTGAAAGCCCTGCAGGAGGGGCGGCTGTGGCCTTCGCCCTGCTCTGTGCCTTTGGTGGAGAGGTGGGAAGTTGGCACAACCCACCCAGGTCAGGGCTGAAGCTCTTATTTTCAAAGGTTGACTTAAGCCATCTTTACCCATTGCTCTCTGTCTCCTAATTTCCCTTGTGCCCTTCGTGGTTGCCCTCCTACCTTGCGCCTTTTCATTCATTTGCTGCAGAACACATTTATGCCAATGCAGCCTGTCGCCTGTGCCATGGCTCGCTGCTGGGCAGGGTGCCACCCTCCCCAGGGGCCAATTTAACCCCCATTTCTCCTTTTACCCTCCGTGGGATGGCACAGCCCTCCTGCAGTCCCCCTGAACTCAAGTGCCAAACACTGGAGCCAGCAGCAGGGCAGCCAGCGCCGTACAGCCCGCACCACCTCCAGCTGCAGCCCTGGCGGGGGGTGTTACTGTGTGTGTGCGTGGAGGTGGGGGTGGGTGTCACTTTTGTGTCTGTGCACATGACTGTCCACCCACACGATTACATCCATGTACTCTCGTTGGCCCCACACTATCTACATGCGCATGTCCATCCACGTGTGTCCATGTACACCCATCGGTTCACGTACACTTGTCTGCATCTGTGTGTCCACGTACGCATATCCACCCATACATGCTGCTGTCCACACATGCATATCCACTTCTGCGTGGCCTCATCTGCCTACATTTGCGTATCTGTCCACATACACTTGTCCACACACATCTGTGTACCCACGTATGCAAACCTGTCCACATACACATATCTGTCCACGTGTATCCACACATGCATGTTCAGCCACGTATGCATACCCGCCCACGTGTGCATGTCCATCTGCATGCACATGTCCACGCACGCGTGTCCATGTACACATACACCCCCGCAAGTCCATGTAGGTGTACCCATGTACGCATACCCATGTACGCAATCTGTCTGTGTATGCTTGCTCACATCTTTGTATCTGTGTATGCGTATCTTTACGCAACCGCTTCTGCACATGCGTGCCTGTGTGCGTGTCTGTCCGAGTACACATTTACCCACGTGTGTCCACATACGCATATCCGCATCTGTGTGCCCATGTATACATATCCACCCACGTCCATCTCCCCACGTGTGTCCGTGTGTGTCTCCATGTCTGTGTGTTTTTTCTGCACGTCTGTGTCTGGGGTGGGTATGGGACCTGTTTCTAAAACCACAGCCGATCCTTGGGGTAAAACAGTCAACCTCCTCTTGCCGAGTGCAGGCCCAAGGCCCCATGGGAGAAGCCTTTTGGGGGCACAAACCTTGGGCATTGGCGGGCACTCGCTCAGGCCGGGGGCTGCTCTCAGGGGTAGCTGGAAGATGCCAGCAAGGCGAGAACGCGCGCTCGCCTGAGCTACGGCACTGGACAGAGCAAGAAGTCAAGATTTTGCATTCCAACTATCTATAGGAAATAGGGTTTTTTTTATTATTTCAAGTTTTCATAAAAATCCATAATTATTGAAATCAAAGTTACAGAAGAAAGTTTGTAACTTTTTATTGATTTTATTTCTTTTTTTTCTTTCTTTTCCCTCCCCTCTGTTGTTTTTCCCTCTCAGAGTTATATCTGACACCGGAGTCCATCGGACAAAGTCCTTACCAACACGGGAGTCCTGAAGACATCAGCTGAACGTTTTCCTGGTATAAAGAAGAAGAGGGGGGGAGAGAGGTGGTGACAGTGTGGGTGCAGTGGGTTAGGACAGGGGCGAAGGGCATGGTGGAAGGAGAGAGGTCGGTATGTTTGTAGCAATGTTTGTTTTTTAATTATTCTTATTTGTTCATTTGTTCATTTTTGTTTGTTTTGTTTTGTTTTATTTTGTTGTTTTTTTAAAAACACCCACCATTATTGTTTGCAAATTGTCGCACGGTTAAATCATTTTCATGTTGAACTTGCGCGGCGCGTCGGCGGAGCTGATGCCCGCATCGGACTTGCGTGGCACATACTCGATTTCGATATTGTGCTTGGTGTTGCCTTTCCCCCGGCTCCACAGGAAGAGGAGCACCAGACAGAAGAGCACGACGCCCAGGAAGGAAATGAAGCCCATGGTGGTGGCGATGATGAGAGTCTTGATGTCAAAGGGGAAAGGCACGGTGGCACGCGTGCTGTTGGCATCGCTCTCATTGGGCTGGTTGGAGATGAACGCGAAGGTCTTGTTGGGCTGGTGGGGCCAGTCTGGGGAGTAGCTGCGCACGTGCAGGTGGGCCAGCATGGTGTCGTTGCCACCCGCGTTGCTGGCAATGCATAGGTAGGTGCCATTGTCCTGGATCTGGGCGTAGCGCACCTCCAGCGTGCCGTCAGGGAAGACAGTGAGCCGCCCATTGGTTTTGGTAGAGATGAGGTGCTTCCGGGGAGAGAGCCACATGATGGTGGGAGGCGGGTCCCCATCTGCCCGGCAGACAAAATGGACTGTGTGGCCTTCGTCCACGAAGATCTGCTGAGGTTTGCGGTCCCGTATCCGTGCTCGGCGGCAGGTGAAGTAGTTGGGCAGGAGGACGTCGGGGAAGTCTTTGAACTCCTTGCCCTGGACAAACTCGGGGGTGGAGCAGGTGGGCTGCTGCTTGTTGAAGTTCAACCTCCATCGCCGCCGGAAAACCCAGAGCAGCCGGCAGTCGCAGGCTAAGGGGTTGTTGTCGAGGATGAGCGTCTCCAGGTTGCCCACCGAGTGGAAGGCTGACTCCTCCAGGGTGGTCAGTAAATTCCCTGACACGTTCAGGATGCGCAGGTAATTGAGGCCACGGAAGGCAAAGGGCTCGACCGTGGTGAGCTGCCCTCCCACCAGCTGGATCTCCTGCAGCCTGAGCAGGTCATGGAGCATGGAGCCCTCGATGGTGACGATGGGGTTGTAGGACAGGTTCAGGAACCGGAGGTAAACCAAGTGCCTCACCGACACGTACGGGATGGATGTCAGGTTGCAGTGGGTGATGGACAAGGAGGTCAGGTTCAACCCGTAGAGGCAGTTGGACGTCATAGTATCCAGGTAGGGCCAGTGTGAGATCTCGAGGACCTTGAGTCGGTACAGCCTCTTGAATGAGTAATCCCGGATGGTGTTGATGTTCAGATGGCGCAGCCGCAGCACGATCAAGCCATGAAGGTGAGACAGGGCCTCGGTGGGGATGGAGGTCAGATTGCATTTCTCCAGGGTCAGCTGCTCCAGGCTGTTGAGGCCGCTGAAGGCCCGGTGGGAGATGTAGACGAGGTCATTGTCCCCCACCTCCAAAGACTTCAGGTTGTACAAGTCCTGGAACATGTAGTCTAGGAGGATCACAATTTTGTTCTCACTAATGTCTAGCTTGGTAAGGTTGCTGAGTCCAGTAAACACCCCCAAGGGAATCAGCTTGAGTCTGTTACTCCTGAGCCCCAGCGTCCTGAGGTTGAAGAGGTTGTTGAAAGCCCCAGGTTCAATGGCACTGATAATGTTCTCATTGAGCTCCAGCTCCTCCAGGTGAGGGTAGTTGGCAAATTCATCCTGGTTGAGCGTCTTGATGCGGTTCTTGCCCAGGTCCAGCAGCCTGGTCTCGGTTGGGATCCCCTCCGGCACGACCATGAATCGCTTGCGGTGGCACAGGACGGCGCGGTCCTGGGCAGAGCATTCGCAGCGCGGCGGGCAGCCCGTGGCAGAGCCGGACAGGATGGATCCCAGCATCAGGAAGAGAATCGGCTGCCAGCAGGCCAGGATTGGGCTGCGCATACTCGCCTCCCCAGCTACCATCCTATCTCTCACCTGTGGGTAACACGGGGGAGAGAAAGAGCAAGGTGGACGTGAGCAAACAACAGATGCGACTACAGCAAAAGGTTTTACTGTCCTGGTTGAGCTGGTGGTATGGTGAAAGGCACCGCCGGTTTTCCAGCTGAAATCCAGCTCTTTGCCTGCACAACCATCTCTCCTCCCCACCTCCCAACTTCCCACTTGATTGAACGTGCACAGACTTTGAGTGGAAAGCCTTGAGGAATCTGTGTCAGACAGACCTCACTTCCTCGGCTTCTTGGAAAAAAAAAGCCAAACCATTAATACTAAACACATCTATCTACATCCTATTTTAAGCTCTTGAAATTATTCAGTTCCCTGTAGATGGAGCCTGAATATAAAGGCAGCTTTGCAAACGCAGAGGAGCTGAGCACAGGATTGAGAATCCAGGGGAACCCTGCTTGGAGCCGTCTGGCAGCGGGGTGTCTGAGTGGGGAGCAACGGCGACAGCTCTGCAGAGACTGTCCCCCTTCCTCTGTGCTCTGCAGCAGTCTGGTTTTGGTGTAGCCCCCCGCAATCAGGATGAGTCCTTTGCTTCCCACCATGCCTGCCCACAAGGTGCAGACCCACACTGCCCCCCTCAGAACCAGCCTTCCCTGGGGAGGACTAGGAGACCGTCCCAGGGGTTACAGGCTGGCTTCTGCCCCAGCCCCAGCCCAGCCCATAGGCTAGCAGAAGCGAATGCTCCCCGTTGCACTGCCTCTGGTGCATTTATTTTCTTGTTGGAGCTGTTATGAGGGACCAAATCATATTAATATTGCATATTAGATGTACAGCTACTCCGGACCACGTTTATATCTATTGTTACGTGTGCACTCTGTATTGCTTCCACTAATGCTATTTATGGCTATCGCTGAATCTCCTCAATACATTACTTGCATTGGCTCCGTTTGTATCCATCATTATCTACCCTGAGCATTGCTTTCCCAGCTCCAGCACTATTTATGGGGCTGGTATGCATTCTGTGCATTACCTCCATTGCGTCTCTTTATATTCATCACTTCAATCAGATATATGACCCAAGTATAAATTTTGTTCCCAAAAAAATTATTCGCCATTTCTTTGCAAGACGGAAGGATGAAAGCTGATGGACTGGCCATAAAAATGTCCACCAGCACCATATCAGAAACCGCCAGGCCTTGACCTGCCTTGGCTCTGCGTCCCCAGAGAAACCCTCTCACAGTTTCCTTCCCGCTCCCCGCCTTTCTCCAACCCCTCTTCCTGCTACCCCTGTGGTGGGGGTGGTTGCTGGGGCCCACCCGAAACACCTCACCCCTGAAGCTGATCCCACACCACTCCCTTGGCAGTGGGGCCAAGCTCCCTCCCACCAGCCCCAGGCCAGCAGCTCCCAGTCCAGTGCAAACATTTCCAGTGGGTTGGCTTGGGCCTGGGCCAGGCTGCCCAGAGCCATTTGCTGGGTATTTACAATTCATCATCTCCCGTGTCATCACCTCCCTAGCACTGAAGGTCCTGGGCAGCCGCACAAATACAAGCGGGGCCACCGCTACCGTTGCGGCGCTGCTGGTTTGCTCCCCAGGCTCGTGCCGCAGCTCCGGACGGGGTTTCTCAGAAACCAATTCCTGCTCCTCAGAGCCGTGCTGAGAAAGCCATCAAAGAAAGCAAAACACTGCGTGCAAACCAAAACACAGTCTGAGGGGCTTAATTATACCAGGGCTGAAAAGACTTCAGCTCATTAGAGTGCCAGGCAGCCAGCCTTATTTGGCTGGGTGCTGCGCTGAAATTTCGGCTCTGCTCGTGCGTGCAGCCGCACGCTGGTCCCTGCTGGGTGCAGGGTGGGGAGCGAGAGCCGAATCCTGCTGCAGGGCCCCATGCATGGCTCCCTGGGCCAAATTCTGCCTCCCCACCAGAGGGAAGGGGATTGCACCTGCAACACGTTTGGTCCTGTGCAGTTGGCCCCACAGTGGAGTGGCAGCACTGATGGTTAAAATGTAAGAAAAGGGGTGGCAGGTGAACGAACCAAAGCCTGCATGGCATTAGAGATGAGACAAGACCACTTCTGTAGAACTGAAGTCTAGACACACCTCACACGTAATTAGTTCTCACCTAAATTTAAATCCATGATAAATACAATCCCTGACAAAAACATCCGTAATCTTAATAGCCAGAGTCACAGAAGAGCTCTGGGAGAAAGACAATGAAGGAGCTGAAAAATTCTGGGCTAAGATGAGCTTTAAATCACTTCTGGTTCCCATTTACCTCTAGCTGTTTGAGAGAGGAATATTTGTGCGATGAGGCAGATAGCAAGAGGTGCCCTTCTAAAAATGATTCAAATCACGGTTTCTGTGTGAGCTGAGGTCAACAACACGTACACAGCTTTACAGCGACTGCCACACATCCCCCACAGGAGCTGGACTTGTGGCATAACTGCAAACCTCAGCCCAAAGTTCAAGCTGTGATTTTTGGCCATCCTGCCTCTGCTGCCATGGATGTCAGCTGGGTGAGGGGCTGTGACCACCTCAGATGGGCTCGGGCCACCACAGGGAGAGGGTCTGGTGCCACTGAGGAGAGCTGGCAGTGGCCAGGAAACTGGGAGATGGCCAAGAAAAGGTGCCACCAAAGGCTTTCCAAAACTTGAAGCCCTCCCAGATTTACCCTGAGGAGGAGCTTGAAACGTGCCACGGCCCTCTCCTGTGTGCCTGGCCGCGTCCCCAGCACAAGGTGCCAGGCAGGGTCAGGCTGCATAGCTGTGATGCACGGACCAGGCCAGCCCAGGGAGCGTGAACATGGTTCTCATTTCTCACGTTAACAACAAAAAAAGACTCGATAAGAAAGGAGCAGCTGCTGGACTCGCTGCTTCAGGCAATGAGCAAACCAGTGCAAACAAAAGCAAAAAATAACACCCAGAGCCATGGTACCCACTGAACTCTGTCCCTGTCACCCTGCCGCCTGGGGATGAGGGCTCCAAAGCACAGCCCCTTCCCCTGGGCAAGCTGCTGGGCTCGGCCGGGAGGCACAGATGGGTGAGTGGGAGCCACGCTGCCTCGGTGCTCAATGTAGCAGGACCTGCTGAGCATCTCCGGCTGGGCTCAGCACGGGGAGGAGAGACGCTATTCTGGGCCTGTGCCTACAAACGTAGTCCAGGGCCGGGCTGGAGTGCTGATGTACATGGGGTTTGCTCTGCACAATGGGCACAGGAGGGACCCATGGAAACCAAACACAAGCGATGACCTAGGAGGGAGCTGCGGCTTCTGCTCCCCTACCTGGCCATGCCCTCCACTGTCACCACTGTCACCACAGGGGTGCCCGGGGCTGGGCCAGTGCTCCTCAGCACCCAGTGATCTGCTACGCTGACAGCAAGCAAATGGCAAAAATCCCTGAGTCAGCTCTAATCCTCACCTGGCAGCCATAAATCAGTGTGGGAGACGTTCACCCTTGAACCAGATGCTTTTGAGAACATCAAGCGACAACGGGCAATTTAGGACAAAGCGAACCAGACCCACACTGTGCTGTGGTGTGGGTGTGGGTCAGCCACAGGCTCACCTCCACTACACGAAGCCACCAAGACACAGCTCCAGAGTCACTGCTTTTGTCTCCTCTAAGCTGCTCCAGCTAAATCAAATTTTATTGAACTTGACTACATTTTAGAGATAAAGACTCCAGGTTTACAAATAAATATTTAACAACCTTTCCTGCTGCTAAAAGAGTTGCTTATCCAGACCCCAGGCTCTGCACTAAGTGTTCCTGTAGCTATCTGCAAAGCAGCAAAACAAAAGGAGAAGCTTTAATTTGCCAAACACGTTCGTGACCATTTCCTCCTCGCTCCATCATTCCCCTCGCATCCCACATGCACTGGCAGGTCCTTTTGCTTTGTCTCCGCTTCCTTCCTTCCCCAACCTGCTCCCTCCTCTTCCTATTTTCCCACCCAGTCCCTGGAGCACAGCATCGGCAGCAGCTGCTCTCCCCCTCAGTGCCCAGGAATGGTCAAGGGGAGCACAGAGAACGGCAAGGGCAGATTCCCTCCTAGGACCATGCTCCTTCATGTGGGTTTACTCCCCCAAACCAAAGACCGAAAGCCTAAAGCAAGCCCTGAGCGCAGCGGACGAGGGACAGCGCTGGCCTGGGCGATGGAAAGTTGCAGCCGCATTTCTTCTGAGCCTTCGCTAACGGATAGGCTGGTAACGAAGGGCATGAAGACCAAGTTGGCCAGAGAAGAGACCACCCCCAGCTTCAGCAGCCCCAGTATCTGAAGTATCCGCTTTCAGCTGCTCCGAGGCAGGAGCCTGGAATAGGTGTGTCGCAACCTGATCTGCTCTGGCAGTTGCTCTGAGGCTGTAAAAGAGCACGAAGAAATATTTGAGACGCAAATCCCCTTCCGGCACCCACACCGCCTGGCTGGCACCACAGACCCACAGCAGCCGGCCTGCAGGACAGCCCCACAAAGGCCTTTCCTCATGGCAATAGGCTCTTCCACCCAAAATATGGTGCCCTCAATGCCGTAGAGGATGATGTTAGGGAAGCACCAAGCCAAAGGACAATAGCAGAAAAAAAGAGGACAGGGATGCACACAGGGCGATGGGAAGGAGATCCCCGACGGCTCTGCAAGATGCTGAAGCTCAGAGCAGTTTTTGCTGAGGCTGTTTCTTGCTGTGATCACATCTGCGTGAGAGCTGCTCATCCTCCTTGCACCTTTGCTCCTTCATTTTTAACGTCTCTTCTCTCTCTCTTTGGCTGCACATGCTTCAGTGCCCCATCAGCAAAGAAAACATCCTGACAAGTGATCAATAAGTAATTGCAAAGGCAGCTGTGGATGCCGAGGGTGTAAAGCCCTGAGCCAGCAAGAGATAAATGAGGAGTGTAAGGGTGCAGCGCAGCGTGGAGCTCAAGCTCAGAGCCAGCCACGCTCCCCTCCTCGTTGACTGAAGTGGCCGGGACACGGCCGGCCCACCACTGCCACAGCCGCTGTCGGTCGGCAGTTCAAGGCAAGCTGGAAGGAGGATGATTCTTTTTCTGCT